TGGATTTAGGCGATCAGATAGAGCTAGAATCCTGAAATTTGAAATTAAAATTACTGTTGAAGTGTAAAATTGGGTTATGCGTGTAGTTTTGGAAATGTTACTTACAGGTACTAAATTTGATAGAATTTAATTATTGGGTGAATCGATATAGTTAGAATCCTAAAATTTGGAGTTAGTATCACTGTTGGAGTGTTGGATAGGGGTACGAAGGAAGTTTTGGAAATGTATTATAATGTGTAATAAAGGGCATTACATTTGGTAAAATTTAGATTTAGAGTGAACCGAAAGATCTGGAAACTTAAAATTGGGTTATAAGATTTCCATTGGATTGCATTATGTAGGTATTAATAAAAATTTGTACTTATGATTATTAAGGTAGGTAATTATGAAAATTTATTTTAATGTGTACTAACTGGTATTAAATTTTGAAATTTGGATTTTTTTAAACAAATTTAGTATAGAGCTAGATTCCTGTTGGTATGTAATGTTGTTGGTCAGAATTGGTGTGTAGGTACTAAATGGTACTTAAATTTTAATTATGGTCGGTATTGGTTTTTAAATCGCCAAGGAAGTAAAAGGCATATGCTTGTCTCTAATAATTTTCTGAATGACGATTGCAACCTTTTAAATCTCCTTGACCAGTTTAATGCAGTTTAAACTTAATTAAAATTGTATAAATGTCATCCTTCATACCAAGTTTCGTGAGGAATAGGGATAAGTAAATCGACTTTTTGTATTGAAAAGTCAACTTTTGACCTTTGAGAGATCGCAATGTGGACTTTTCAAGATCGACTTTCGATTTGCTTTATAAATTCTTGGTTTATTACCACAAAACCGAAATTGTCCAAAAATTACACATTCAAAACTTTTTTCATCTGTTGACAACAATTCTTATAAAAATTGGTCGTCTTAATCGATATAGATTAATCCATTTAGAAGTAAAACATGAATCCCAAAATCTAGAACTTTCAGTTCTTCACAAGGGGATCATAAGCCAACCGATTCTCACCAACGCTGAAGTAAAACAAGGATGCCTTCTGTCACTCCTACTATTTACAGTTGTACTTGATGGAATAATGAATGAAGTCTGCTCCCGGAGAAGAGGCATAACATGGAGTCTGTCACGATAGCTCGAAGACTTAGACTCATATGATAAGCAATATGCAGTCAAAAGTAGAAGAACTGGAGAGAGAGTAATCAATTGGCTAACAAAAACGAGAGCAGTATGGAGAAGCTCACATTTATCAAGGAAAACCAATCTTAAAATATTCGAAGCATATATAAAATTGACTCATCTATACGGCAGTGAAACCTTAAACACCATCATGCAAAAGCTACAGGTATTCATAAATAGATGCCTCTGGATCATATGCAGAATATTCTAGCCCAACACCAGACGTAACCAATACAAAAGTAGATAAAACGTAGAAAATCGAGATGGATTGGCGATACCTTATGAAAAAATGTCCATAGCATCGAGGTCGACCAAAAAACACTTGACGGCGAATAGTAATCCAAGAACTAAAATAAAATAACCTTACATGGGAATATACAAAAACAACTAGAGTTGTACAACCTAGTTCACGTTGTGCATCGATATTTCTCGTTCCTTTAAAAAAGGAAGCAGTTCCTTAATGTAATTATTTTGCTTCATATAGTTCCGACTCCTAGATAGTACCTTTGAATCTCTCTCTCTTTCATCTATCTAATCGTTCCTTTTTAAGGAAATATAAATTAAACCGAAATTAACCGAGTAAGATGGCGGTGCTTTGTGAAAGCTCTATGCTCCCAAGAGGAGCAAAAGGAAAAAAGTTTCAACCGAAAATATTGTAATTTGGCATTCCAGGTTCTTATTGAAATAAACTTCTCCCCAGAGTCAATGCTTGTTAATACATACTGAGATCTCGATAACTTTTTGCTATGTTAAATGTTTTTTCCTAGCGTAGTTCGGCCGAGCCGGTAGGTAGTTATCTCGAAGGACCACTTACTTGCTTAGCTAGCATGTGACAGAACATCTGTTCCATAAGCCGAGCTTAAACCAGTAAGGAAAGTAGTAAAATCGGACTGGGCCGACTATATGATACCCTTCACCACTTTGGGTATATTTTACATATGTATCCCAAAAGACGACGCGTTTTGTTATAAATCTGTATCTGAACCGATTTCAGGGAAACTTGCCAGAGACTAATTTATATAACATCAGTACGTTGTGTCAATCGGCCTAGCTATGGATTTTTTCACGAAGCTTAGCAAATTCATGCAAATCGAAAGATATATTGGGTCTTTGGTGCTCCAATTACCTTAAATCGGATGAAACTATAAATGGGATCTATATCTAAATCTGAACCGATTTTCACAAAACTTGGCAGACATCATTCTCGATCTTATTCATAACTCTGCGCCAATTTTCGTGCACATCAAAAGATTTCCAGGGACTTTAGTGGACTATTTACCTAAAATCGGGTGAACTTATATATGGGAGCTATATCTAAATCTGAACCGATTTTCACGAAACTTTGCACATATCACTCTAGACTTAATTTAGTACGTTGTGCCAAATTTCGTGCAAATCGAAAGATAAATAGTGACTTTGGTACACAATTTATCTTAAATCGGACGAAGATATATATGGGAGCTATATCTAAATCTGAACCGATTTTCGCAAAACTTTGCACACATCATTTGTGACCTTATTTATTACGCTGTGTCAAATTTCGTGCAAATCGAAAGATATATAGGGACTTTGGTGCACCATTTACCTTAAATCGGACGAAAATATATATGGGAGCTATATCTAAATCTGAACCGATTTTTCCCAATTTCAATAGGGTTCGTCATAAATGCGAGCTGTACTTTGTTTACAATTTAACATGAACAGACAGACGGACGGACATGCATAAATCGACTTAGAAAGTGATTCTATGCATATTCTCAAAAGGAACCATGGGCCTATCTCGATTATTTTTGCCTGTTACAAACATATGTACAAAGACATAATACCCTGTACCACAGTGTGGTGAAGGGTATAAAAAGATTTCTAAGCGCGTCAGTCTTGCGAGCAGCTCTTCCAATTTGAAAGACCATGTTCCGAAATATCCTCTTCCACTTAATCTTTCCATCTAATTCGTGGACTTCCCCTTCCGCCTGAGCCATCAGTTGGCTCAATTTTAAATGCCTTTTGTGCTGGGGCATCCTCATTCCACAACATGATCTAGCCAACGTAGTTGTGGCAGCTGGATGCGTCTGACAATGCCGATGACCGAAAATAGATCGTTCAATTCATGGTTCATTCGACGGCCATATTCACCGTCAACGCATATCGGGCCATAGATCTTTCGGAGAAATTTTCTCTCAAAAAATTTATGGAACGAAACGGGTATTATCGGTATGGTTATAATTCCACATTAAACTCTTGTTAAATAAATATTTCCCAAAACATCCGGGGGATTTAGAACTTTCTTCTATGGTCAGGTGGATATTTTGGATAACCGAACAAAATATCTTTTGAAATTAAATCATTCTGTGAATGGGTAGAAAATGTTATAAACATTTCAAACAAATTTGAGATGAGCCCCTAACTGCACATAAGCATATTATACTCTAAGTAAACGACATGGACCTTAAACATACTAAAAATTGGGCGCCACTTTTATATGGACCTCATTTCAAAACATGCATTAATATGAAAATTTTCGGGGATTACTTTTTTATCCAACAATAATCATGAATATAAAATTATTCTCATTTCAATTTCAAAATTGGATGATGATAATCTGTAGAGTCTCTTAATGGGTTAAAGCCACATTCTTCTTCCCAACGCAATTCTCATTGAGTAAAACAACTCACCCGAAGCGTTAAATAACTACTCAACGTAAAACAGGTAATGAAGTGAGAAAAACGTCAACACCTAAACCAATTTCAATCTCTCTCAGGAGAGAAAAAAAAATCTCAAGTCAGTTGGAATATGAGCGGTAATGTTGTTCCGCTTATGATCGTTACGCACCGACTTGGTGACGGCGGACTCCGATCTGTCAGAGATGCAGAAAGCAATGGGTGAGTTTTTGTTTTATTAGTTTAGTGTTTAAGTGAACGTAAGGCGGTTGAGTTGTGGATATCGAGTTCGGTTGGGATTTTAGAAGAAACAAATAATAAAACGGCCAATTTCGGAAAAAACACACACACTCAAATTAAAAATAAACAAACCAGTTGTGGTTACAGTGAGAATTTCGAATTTGTTTTTACATAAACAAATAACAATAAAAAATAATAATCATTTTATTTAAAAAAAGTGTTTTTTGTTCAACAAAAAATAATAAAGGCTTAAATGCGCAAAACAAATAACAAAAACCCCCAGTGAAAACCTGTTTTTTTGAGGTATTAACCGGACGGACGGACAGACACAAACACACCACTCACACACAGAGCCATGGTGAAAAGCAGCTAGCAATCCACGAACCAGCCAACCAACCAACCGACCATTCCAACAATAACCAGAAAAATTAGCCACAAACGTTATGAACAACTGGCTGGCGTCTTGGCCAACAAAACAATCTTCAGCCTACAGCAATTACAATAACAACAACAGCAACACCAGTTACACAAAGAAGATTTAAAACACCAAGAGCAACAACAACAGCACACGATCTGTTGAGAGTCAACGTCTACTAACAAACAAGCAATTGGTAGATGACTCATCGACTGACTTCAGACGTCAATTCAGTTGGCCAAAAAACAGTTGAACAATCAAAAGATGTTAATAAATAATTAATATAAATAAAAAATTAATAAATTTCTAATAATAACCGAATTTAATAAAAAAAATCGTGACGTGAAATTGTTACACGTTTGTGTTAAATTAAAAAAATAACTAAAATATTTTACTTTAAAATTCAAACACGTTTCACCATTGTTATTTGTTTTATAATAACAAATATTTGAAAAATTCGACACTTCCTTCAGTATCCAGACAACAACAACAATATTAACAACGGTTACAGAAAATGTTTAATTTTAGCGCCCTAAGAACAACTGCCGCCACAATTTTAACTCTACCCGCCGCCCTCCACAAAACCGTTGACGCCATTGCAATGACAGCCGAATCAGCGGCTGGTACCGACTGTCACGGCCAAGTGTGCCATCCAGTGGAACAATTTTGCTCACACTTTGAAGTTACCTGTGTGAATTGTTCGTCGGCATGCGATCCGCAAGATCTTAACTATAAACCGGTGGAATGCACACGAGAATGTGGTGGTAAGTTAGACACAGACAACTTTTTTTAATAAATATTAAATTTGTAGGTCTTCCGTTAGATAGAATGTTTTCTATTGGGACATCTGTAGATGCCAGACATGGGTCTCTTTTAAATAGAGCGATGAATGGAAGAGCTTCTACAAACGGAATACAGATATTCGAATTTGCAAAAGTCGTCTGTAAAAATTTTTTAGTGTAATGCAATAGAAAAATTACTATAGGTTCCCTTCAGAAGCCCTTTTACATTAGAAATCCTTCATATAGATATTGTGAACATTGAAGGTACCTCACAGTTGTTTATAAGGAACCCATTAATGAAAAAGGCTAAAATCGAACGGCACCGACTATATGATGTTCTACACCAGTATATGCAAGACCTGGTGTTAAGAATAATACTGAAATCGTTGGAAATAATATTTTTTGTCTATGTATAATTCTAATCGGTAGCATTACAAATGAGATCTATATTCAAATCTGATTCTAGACTAAATTCCGTAACTTTTACTAAATTTCTTGTCCATCAGACCGATGAAATTGAACAAAAATACCTTAGAGCTGTATTTATGAAAGATTCTGATTTTCGCTAACTTCAATAGGGTTTTATTTTTCAATCAAATTCAATTTCCAAAATGCATCCTTCGTCTTAATTCGACTCAAAAAGACATTCGAAGTATAACATAAAGTTTCCACCAGAGGAGCTATGAAGGTATATGTTGTATTAAATTTGTCATTCAGTTCAAAACACCTCGAAGTATTCTTCGAAGGCTCTATAAGGAAACACGATATGGATCACACTATCTAATACTACTCCCACGACTTTTTGATATTTGATTTGATATATGTATCAATGTTATGATATAGTTCCATATAATGGCACAGCTCCAGTTCTCATATTTGTTGCAGCACCAAAATATTTGGTATTGGAACATGGTTCTCATATAACGATATCGCCTGTTTTTTTGATATTTTGGGAAAATGTTCCATCTAAAGCAAAAGTCGGACGGCGACAACTATATCATACCCTTCGGCACTTTGGGTACATTGTAGAGTTGGGCAATATAGTTCATTGAGCGGTTCAATCTTGTTCTTGTCCTATACGCAAAAGGAACTTTAGTTCCATAGTTCCTTTTAATTGACTCGTTCATTGGACCATAGATCGTTCGGCCGGTCCATACTATCGTTAATGTTTCTTCTTTTTTGTTTTTTTCCTTATATGCTGTACAACGTTTAATTATTATACGGACTATTTTATTCATCAATAAATGAAAGACACAACTAAATGTTACATTAACTGATTCACATATATGAGCTGGTGAAACGAAATAAACAACGTGAGCAAAAAGAACTGGGAGAACATGAGCAACAAAGAATGACCGGGCAAAATGAACTAAGTGAACGAGAACAAAGAGGAACGAGCGAACAAAATGAACTATCTGAACGACGGGAGCAAAAGGAACTAGGTGAACGAAAGATCCGGACCTAGTTCCAATCGTTCGTGGTTCAGAATAGCTTCATTCCGGAACGACACAGATGTATATAGAACAGACATAGCATTTTTGGAAGACCATTTAAATGGATTCGGACGAAATTAAATGCGATCCACATAGATATTTGAATTAATTTAAATCAACCCATACACATATCATCCTGAAATCTATGAAAAATTGCATGTCAATTGGGCAGACTTGGAATTTTTGGCGAGCATTGGTATTAAATCCAGCAAAATTATGTATGAGAGTTATACGTAAATCTGGACCTATTTGAGCATTCACCATTTGGTATGCAACACAGTGCGATGTAAAGCGAAGAAACATAGGTCTTTTCGGTGCACCATTTGCTTAAAATCGGACTAGAACATATAAGGGGGTTATATTTAATGGTGAACCGATTTCAACAAAACTTAACACGCTTCATTCTAGAGTCAATTTCAAACTTAAAACAAAACATTTTAGGAAGAAACATAGGAACCATGTACATAAAATCAGATCAAAGAATATATTGGAGCTATATCTAAATCTGAACCGATTTCAACAAAACTAAACACAACATTCTATTCTCTTTTCAATACGACATGGAAAATGTCGTCTCCATCGGACAAAATTTGAGAGTTTGTTGCGCCATTTACATAAAATTGGACGATACTATATATGGAAGCTATATCTAAATCTGAACCGATCTCAACAAAACTTCACATACATCAATCTGTACCTATTTCAGTACACTGTGCAAAATTTTGTCGCAATCGTCCAAACATTGGGAGGTTGATGCACCATTTACATAAAATCAGAGGAATATATGTTTATATATATATATATATTTATTTATAGATCTGAACCGATTTTTCCCAATTTAAATAGGGTTCGTACTTGGGTCAATTAAGTGACCTGTGCCAAATTTCATCCAAATCGGATCATAAATGCGACCTGTACTTTGTTAACAAAAATACATGGACGGACGGACATGCATGAAACGACTCAGAAAGTTATTCTATGCATATTCTCAAAAGGAACCATGAGTCTATCTCGTTTCTTTTTGCCTGTTTCAAACATATGCACAAAGACCTGTGTGATGAAAGTTTTATACATTTTTATATAGGTCCAAGTTTTTCCGTTCGTTTTTTGTACTTCATAGGCCGCCAAATGGTGGAGGGTATATTAAATGTGTTATTCCGCATGGGCCACCTCGTAGGAATCATCAAGACCACATTAAGTATATATAGTCTTGATTATAATCTGATAATCTGAAGATTATAATCTGAAAATCTGAAGAACTCTTGAAGATATAGCCGATTTATTGTGTCAGCATCAAGTGACGGCTGAAGGGCGTCTCAAACTTTAAATGCGGTTTTCTCCAAAACATTGGTTTTGCGAATGGCGGACACGATAACTCAAAAACTAATAACCCAATCGAGTGTGTAGCTTTCGTATGGACTAGGATAAAGCCTATCGGTGAAGATCTTCCTTATTTTTTAACTTAACTTTTGGTCAAAAATCGGCGATTTTCTAAATTTTTTTTTTTCAAAGGTCCGCCATTTTGATAATTTTAAAGCGAAGTTAATAATCCTAGTTCATACGAATAATCCCTTAAATGACCGTCTTTTAGAATGACGAAAGATATCGTAATTCTTCAGATAGAGCTCTGAAAATTTGTTGGTATTTTTAAGAGTAGTTTTCGACGGAATATTTTTTATACCATTTTTTTTGGAGGTTGAGACAACAACGCCGAAAATTATCCCTATATGTCTATGTACTGACATTGCGCCCATATAAAGGCCCCACCAAATTGTTGGATATTTTCAGGGTTGTAGCCTCATTTTCTTATTTGACATTTAGGGTTTTGGAGGCTGGCATACATCTGCGATGAGTATTTTTGGTATCAACTCTATTTTAGACAATTTGAATCGATTGTTAAGCGAATGGAGAATTTTAGTGCCAAATTTGGCACTAATTTCGAAATGGTTGTACGCTGAGAGCTGGTAAATATGATATAAATTTGGTAAAAAAATATTACTTTGTGCGGAGTTGAGTTCAAACTGGACACTCAAAAATTATTGTATCCGATTTAAACATGTTCAAAAATGTTGACCCTTTATATGGGAGGTACTACAGGGAATGGGTCTATAAATCTCATTTTAATATTCCAAAACAATTGACAAAGATATCACGGTTTGCAAAGTTTTTACTAAATCAGATTCTCCTTCTTCTTGATTCTCCGCATCATAAGATATTTATACATTTTCGAAACATGTTTTAGTAAAATATTAGGTTATGCAAAGTTTGAGTCCAAACGGAATATCCTTTCCCAAGATAATTTACATTTATTTTTCAGCAAAATGTTCACCTTTTGTAGGGGAGGTAATACAAGGAGTTGTCCGATATTCTTCATTTTCAAACATGATTTAGGGGTAAAAAAAATGTTACGATGTGCAAAATTTGGATTGAATCTACAGTATTTTGATTGAATATAGTGTATATTTTCACTTAGAGAGTTACCCTGCCCCTTATTAATTTCCCAAACAAAAACTAACGGCAACAATTTTATTTATGGACCAACAATTTTATTTTGAGGCTCTCGAGACAATAATTATAATTTGGATTATTATCAACTCTGTATCAAAGTTTTGTAGTTGACTGGGGAACTGCCCAACGAATAAGTTTTGACGATGACTAGACTTATTTAAAAATATTTTCCAGAGCTCAAACTTATGTCGAAGACCTAGTTTAGTAGAGGAAACATTCGATTACTTGCTTCGTGGTGTTTCTACTAGGAACTCCTTTCGATCGATAATCAATCAATATGAACCTTTTTTTTATCAATTGGCTGTTTGTGAGGAATTCAACCAAAAAAAAACTTTTTTTATGGTCAGGCATTCATGCAATATCGAATGTATGCTAATTGAAGAAACGTCCAAGGATGTCTCATCGATGTTCTCTTCTTATGACAATCCACGTCGATAGTTGTGAAAAATTATCGTACGAAAATGTTCACGACTTCATTCGATTTTTTTGCACATTGATTTTTGAAGACACATGGTGGTACGTCAAATTGTCCGTTGGTGCCACATAGACCAGAAATATATGTAGTAGTCATCGTATTAGAATGCCCATGGGACTTCTATAAAATAAAGCCTTATATTGTTTTATAACATAACCTAATTGTTCTCTACCTGTAAATCAAATTTTTGTATTAATACAAGCAACAACAACATCAGTTATAGTTAAAGCTCAAATAAAACTTTCCCATATTTATCCAATCAAAGTTCAGGTGATGCTTATTTGAGTTTTTAGCATCAATTCGATGAAATTTTCTAGAATTTCATTGTAATTGTATTTCTAATTATCAATGACGTCATTTTCATTCATATAACCAGTTGTAAACAAAATTGAATGCAACTGCAAATTAATTTTATTTTACCTGTAATTTTATTGGAACTGGTTTTTGTTTGTATGTTTTAGCCAAGTGTTAGTAATGTTGGTAAATTTGCAATAAGAGTTATCTTCTATGTCAAATACAATGTTTGTATATGCAAATTTTCTATATATATTTTGATAAATTATAAAAAAGAATAAATATTCGAGTCATTAGTTAAATATAGGGGAGATGGTTTAAGGTGGATTTTTAATAATGTGATTAGATTCTTAACATATTAGAATTTTGATTAAATATACGTGTTATAGATTTTATTTTCATAAAATGTTAAAAAATATAGACGGGTAATGCTATGCAAAAAGTTATATACAATGCAAGGATTTATACAAGGTGTACTCAAATTTAGGTTTTAAGTTTTGTTGGTCCGGCTTTTATATAGAAATTGATAATCATTCCTCAAAAATTTGTATATAATTGAATGCCTAATACTTCTTCATTACCAATCTCCCATAAAAATGATTCACTACCTGAATCAATCAAAATACATTAACACTTCAATTGAAAATAATCACAATTATTACCACTCTTGATAATAACAAAAAATATCATCTTCAGAATATAGTATAGACTTCTCTACAGGAAATACTGACCTACGTCAGTTATCGTATCGGTGGGTGGTGACTAACAATAACATCCGCATAATCAGATGACAACAATCTGCTCTGATAAGATTATAGAAAAATATATTCTTACTCGACACTGTTATATCTGCTGATAAAAACAGCAATAGAACTGTGGTTTCAATTTGGTAAAAAAAAACAAAAATAATTTGAAAGCACACAGACGACCAGCTAGTTCTTAGGATCGAAAAACCTCATAGTTTTCTATAAAAAGCAATTAAGAGAAAACCTCAGCATCATTGGTTTCTTCTTCACAAAAAAATTCAAGAGAAATTCAAACCACAACAACATAAAGCCACATAGAAATTTATTTCGATTCGGAAGAAAAGTGGGTGGTACACATTCTGATGGCAGTATTTAGTTCTTTTTGCGGTACATTTTATGTTGAGCATTTTTTTCCACAGCGACCAAATAAGAGCACGTGGTCAGTGGTTGCTTTTTTCATAATGTCTTGCCTCATTGTGGCATATAAAATTAAGTCGAAAAAGTCCGAAGTCTTAGTAAAAATTTTTTTCAAAAATTCAGGCCTTGTAATAGTCGTTGAAAAAATATATTTAAACCAGTAAGGAAAGTTCAAAAGGCGGACGGGGCCGACTGTATCATATAGTCGGCCCCGTCCGCCTTTTGAACCACCACTTTGGGTAAATGCAAGACATGTCAATATATGCAATATCCTGTAGATAGAACGGTCATAGAATCTTTGAAGGACCATTGAGATGGAATCGGGCGAAATTGAATGTGCTATCTATATAAATATTTGAACCAATTGAAAAATTGAATGTCAAACGGACAGACTTGGATTCTTTGGCGTTCCATTTGTATGAAATCGAGTCAAATTTTGTATGGAAGCTATATATTAACACATGGACCTAATATAGTAACCGTTGCATACACAATTTGTTTTCTGTAATCACTATATTCAATTTAATACGAACGAAAATATATGTAAGACCTATATCAAAATCTGAACCAATTTCAACAAACCTTATCACGCATCATTTTTTTCTCAATAGCATTCGCTATGCCAAATTTTACTCAATCGGACAAATATTGGGAGTTTGGTGTATCATTCAAAAAAAAAATCTTATCTTAATCAGAACCGATTTTAACAAAACTTCACAGACATCAAACTGAACATGATTTAGTACTCTGTGAAAAATTTTGTCTCAATTAAACAAATATTGGGAGTATGGTGCATCATTCAAAACAAATTTGACGAAACTATATATGAGAGATATATCTAAATCTGAACCGATTTTAACAAAACTTTGCCGACATCAGTCTTGATCTAAATCTGTACTCTGTGCAAAATTTTGTACCAATTCGACAAATATTGGGAGTTGGTGCATCATTCACATAAAACCGGACGAATCTATATATGGGAACTGTATCTAAATCTGAACCGATTCCAACAAAAATCCACACACATAAGCATAGACCTAATTCAGTGCGCTGTGAAAAATTTTGTCCCAATTAAAAAATCCACGCCTTGTAATAGACCTTAAAAAATCTACGTCTTGTAATAGACCTTAAAAAATCCACGCCTTGTAATAGACCTTAAAAATCCACGTCTTGTAATAGACCTTAAAAAATCCACGCCTTGTAATAGACCTTAAAAAATCCACGGCTTGTAATAGACCTTAAAAAATCCACGCCTTGTAATAGACCTTAAAAAATCCACGCCTTGTAATAGACCTTAAAAAATCCACGCCTTGTAATAGACCCTAAAAAATCCACGCCTTGTAATAGACCTTAAAAAATCCACGCCTTGTAATAGACCTTAAAAAATTCACGCCTATATTTAGTTAAAAAATCCATGCCTATATTTAAGAAAAAAATCACGCCTTGTAGTAGTCCTTAAGAATATATTTAATCTTGAAATTTTTATTTTATTATCCAAAATTGTCACACATTTTTAATTTGTCGCATTTTCTCTCTTTTCAGAATTCCTCAAATTGTTGCCCCTACAAAATGAAATTCATCAGATACAAACACAACAAAGTCTCATCCTATATCTGTTGATATTTTTGCTGATCATTACGTGTCTCCACTATACCTGGGTATGTCTGAAATGGTTGCGACAACAACGATGCTTCCGCCAGGTACTCAAGAAGCTACAATTGAAGAAAGGTCCTTTACCGCCGACAGCGCATGTCAATGGCAAAGATACAACAATACAAAATATGTGTGTCATCAATGAAGTTGAGCGGGCACCGTCACAGATTTACAGTATGACAGGTAAGAGATCGAAGAAGAAGCAAATGTAATCTAAAAATTGATGCTGGACGCCAATTGACTTTAATATTCCATTTTAAAGTGGTTTGGCTGAAATACAATTTATGATATTTTTCCTAAGTGAAAAACTGAGACTAATCTCTTATCTATTTCCGTCTCCTCTTCATCGTTTCTTTCAGGTGTCGAGGGTTCAGTGATGACAATGACAACACCAATTAGCTCACGCCATCCAGCCGAAAATCAAACACCATCACCACAAGCCATTACAAATGAATACTCCTATGACAATCAAGCATTGGCTGTGACGCCAGTGTCGGAAAAGCCAGGAGGTGGTTCGGTGGTATTTTGAACATCTCTACAGTCAGCCAATAGGAATTAAGCAAAGGAATTTCACCACTCTTTACATCACATTTGTTTCGGAAAAAGAAAATGTTAAAAACATTTTTTTCCGATTTACGACCCAAACCTCGTCTGCGGCCCTCACGTACTTAATGCCTTGCTGGGTAACTGCTGACCTTTAAGGATTTATTAAAGCCCTCTCACATAGTCTTCCTGTTAGTCTAGTTTATATATTTTAAATTTGGTGAAAAATCGGTTATATATAGCCCTCCACGATTTATTTTATATTTAGTCCACAATATGAAATTTTTATGATATTATATTATGATTATTGTCAAAACCAACCAACCAAGCAATCCATCCATTTTATCATCACATACATTCATATATATGTATACTAGTGATAGTTATGTAAGTTTGCAATTATCATAAATTATTCTATTTTTTGTAATTTATATTATTAAATATAAGATGATATTTTTAAGAAATACAAAAATATATTTGATCAACTATATATATAAAATAGAAATCATTTTTTTGTTTGCATGTTACCGAAAGACGCAAAAACCGCTGAGCAGATGTTGATAAGATTAGCGCAGTATGCGAGGGCATGTCCTGGGAGTAACATAGGCTAGATAAACTTTTAAAGTTCCGCGTGGATGTAGAGTTATAGCATCAACATACCTTACAATTATCGAACATGTAATATGCTTATATTTTAAGAACGGTTACAGATACCATCTTCAAATTTGCACATAATCCATACAAAAACCAGTAAGGAAAGCAGTAAAGTCGGACTGGGCCGACTATATAACACCCTTCACCACTTTAGGTATATTATACATATATATCATAACATACGTCGCGTCTTTGTTATATATCTATATCTGAACCGATTTAAGGGAAACTTGTCAGAGACTAATTTATATTACTTCAGTACGTTGTGTCAATCGGCCTAGCTATGGATCTTTTCACGAAGCTTAGCAACACCATTCTAGACATAATTCAGTACCCCATACCAAAATTCGTGCAAATCGAAAGACATATAGGGACCTTGGTGCACCAATTACATAAAATCGGACGAAAATGTATACGGGAGCTATATCTAAATCAGAACCGATTTTCACGAAACTTAGCATACGTCATTCTAGACTTAATTCAAAATGCCATGCCAAATTTCGTGCAAATCGAAAGATAGATAGGGACTTTGGTACACCATTTACGTAAAATCGAGCGAAACTATATATGGAAGCTATATCTAAATCTGAACCGATTTTCACGAAACTTGGCACACATCATTTTAGACCTATTTAAGTAGGCTATACCAAATTTCGTGCAAATCGAAAGATATATTCGGAACATTTACATTGAATCGGACGAAACTATATATGGGAGCTATATCTAAATATGAACCGATTTTCCCCAATTTCAATAGGGTTCGTCCTTGGGCCAAATAAGTGACATGTGCCAAATTTCATCCAAATCGGATCATAAATGCGACCTGTACTTTGTTCACAAAAATACATGGACAGACGGACATGCATAAATCGACTCAGAAAGTGATTCTATGCATATTCTCAAAAGGAACCATGGGTCTATCTCGATTATTTTTGGCTGTTACAAACATATGCACAAAGACATAATACCCTGTACCACAGTGTGGTACATTTCCCCATATGTGGTAGCATATGGGAAAATGAAATCTCCATTGCACTTAAATAGTCTACATATAGAGAATAAAAAGTTTAGTTTGAGTTAAAAACCGCTGAACACATTTTACTGAAATTTTTAAAGCACTTCATGCTATCCTATAGATTTGACATAGACTATATACAATTCTAAAATTCCGCGTGGATGTGGATTTATATAGCATCAAAAGTAATAACACATCACAAATAATATACATATTATATTCCCACATGAACATTTACCTGAGTAACTTGGTTACAAATACGATTCATCCCTATAGAAATTTGAGTGATAAAATTTACTCCCAATAACATTAAATTTATCTATACATAGGACATAGAAATATCCAGTTGAGATAAACTTCCAGAATTCTGCGCCAAGCGGACGAAATTAGCGGGGGGAAATTCAAAAAATAACCCACCACGTATCATAAAAACTTTCTTACGGTATTCTTTTAAACATGTTGGTGGTCTGAAAAATAATATATAATTTTATTGTTGTTATCCATTATACCGATATATTGATTTGAAGGTTTTGTTTGTGGCTGATAAAATATTTTTTTTTTTGTTAAGGAATTGAGATAGATTGAAATTTTGCATAGAGTTGTCTTTTGTCTGCAGGCAGATCAAGTACGAGGATGGGCTATATCGGTCCACGTTTAAACATAGCTCCCATAAAAAGGTACCCCCAAATGTTCGGTATTTTGGGGTTCTGAGCGCGTTTTTCAGCTGAATTTGCTGAAATTTGGTACATTGGGTTCTTTTTGGATATCAAATTTATCCACAAAAATGTATAAATATAGGTCCACTTTTTCTGGTAGCCCCCATAATTATTGCACCCCAAAATTTTCAGTATTTTGGGGGTTTTGAGTGTATTTTTTAACCGAATTGGCTGTAATTAAGTACTTGAGTTCTTATTGGGTAGAAAATCACTCCACTAAAAATTATAAATATAGGTCAATTTTTTCGATTAGCTCCAAATTGTTGGTATTTTGGAGTTCATGAACGCGTTTTTCAATCGAATTCCCAGTAATTTGGTATTTTGTAGTCGTATATGGTAACAAATCTCCCTTCCAAATATTATTAACATTCGTCCCATTTTTAAGGTAGTCCCTATATAACCCCCTTTTCTATCAGTCCTCAATTAGGCATAGAAGCTCATATAATTATAACTCCAAGTGTACGGTTATTCCTACACGATGTAATAAATATTGATCCCGCCTTTGGTACAGCCTCCAGAAACCTTCACATTCAAATGTTTTTGCTGCAAAGACAATTTTCAATTTTCATATTGAACCAGCAGCTTCCACTCCGCCCTCGACATAAAGGCATGTGTTTGTTGGTGATGGCCTCATATAACTATGCCCTCTAAATTTCAGTATTTTGGGCATTTTATACATCATGTGTCCATTAAACATTGATAAAATTTGTATTTGGTTTATGGTTTACAACAACAGTTGTTGATATCAGTATACTTTTTGGTATGTTCCATATATTTTTATTTCAAGTAACTATATGGTGGAGGGTATCCAAAGTTCGGTATACTTTTTGGTATGTTCCATATATTTTTATTTCAAGTAACTATATGGGGAGGGTATCCAAAGTTCGGCCCGGCCGAACTTAACTGCTTTTTCACTTGTTTCCCATTAATTCCGACCGTGCTCAGGGCTTGGGGCGTGTTCTTATCAGAAGTAATAGGCCTCAACCAGTTACATGAATATTTAATTGGTAGCTAAATTTTATTATCTATATTCCGATGGTTAAAGTTAGTATAGAGGAAGCTCTTTGAACCTTAGGTGTCATCGGGTTTCCCTCCCTACCTTGCCGACTAAAACGTTGTCAGCCCAAAAAACATTCTTACGATACCCTATCTCAATTTCGTGGAATTATTTAAACATTTGCTTTGAATATTCAAATCATCTATATATTTTATCCTTTTTAAATTGTACTCCAGAAGTATATCGGATACAAAGTAGTCACAGCCTCATCGAAATATTGGTTTTAGACCCCATGTTTATTTGGACCGAATCCGTTTCAGACAATTTGGAGTCGATTTACAAATGCCCGTCCGTATGACTGGCCGGCTAGTGGGCACGATATCTCTCCAAGGGGGTAACCGTTTTCATCCAAACTTTGCACATTGGAATATTTCATTCAAACTTAATTCAAGTTCGATGATATGAAATGTTTGCCCACTCCTTGTGGAAAATTAATTGTATAATACCATGCGAACGGTCCATCCAATTTAAATTCAACTTTGCACAACCTATTATCTTTATCAAGCCTAGATCAAGTTAAAAGATGGGATCAATTAGTTCATTTCTTCTGGTACCTCCCCCACAATCCACATTGTAAATTTTATCAGGATAATGAAATGAAGCATATGTCACATATAGTGCGAATGTGGCTTCTTTATAACTGTGGCAACGTTTTGGATACGTCAGCCTAAAATCCCGACCTTAACCCTTTGGAAAATGTGTGTGCCTACTTGAAAAATGTACCTAAAGGGCAACCAAAAAAAAAATTTCCGAAAATGACTAGTTTCCAGAAGGTATAATTTATTGCCAACTAGTCAAATATGTGCGTGGCCATGATTTCCGAAATTTTTTCGTAAAACATTCAAAAATGTGCGATAATTATTTTTCGATATATATGGGCGATAATTTTGATTATCGATGAATTTTTGTGTTGCCAACCTACATGTGTTAAGTTGACTTTGATGACTTTTTAGTATGGACACCAACCAAATGCACAGATAACCCTAAATTTTCGTAATATCGTCAATTGCCATTGCATAAGTTTAAGGGATTCGATAAATGAGACAAACTCTTGTCGAATCCTATGCCAATAGAAATTATTTAAAAAATTATGGATTATAATGTAATGGTCATCGTAAAAATATATTTTCTATTCCAATTACATTTTTTAAAAGAAGCAATTAGCATTCTTTTCAAGGTCCAAACATGGCGTGGATTTTAATTATTATTAATTTTTCCTCGAAAAAAAATTCTTTACAAAAATTAAGGAAAAATCAAAAGTCGGACGTGGCCGACTATACAAGAGATGCTAATATGTACAATCAGACATATAATTTTTAGAGAACCATTGAAATGGAATGGTGCGAAACTAAATGTGTGATCTACATAGACATTTGAACCAAGTAAAAACTCAATGCATTGTATGTCAATCAGATTCTTTTGTGTACCATTTGTATGAAATCGAGCAAAATAATGTATGTGGAGCTACATGTAAATCAGGGCCTAATTGAGCAACTGTGGTATATACCGTTTGGTATGTTGCAGCACAGAGCGCTGTTCACAATTTTATCTCGCGTATTTGGAACAGACGTAGGCTCCTCGGTGCACCATTTACAAAAAAAAAAAAAAAATATGAGCCCTATCTAAATCTGAACCGATTTTCACAAAACTTCGTATACATCAATGTGGGCCTATTTTAATACGATCTGCAAAATTTTGTCACAATCGAAAAAATTATGGAAAGTTTGGCACACCATTTACCAAAATTCGGACGAAACTATCTGAACCGATTTCAACAGAACTTCATGAATATCAAACAGGACCTAATTCAAAACGCTGCGCAAAATTTTGTCACAATTTACATAAAGTCGGACAAAACTATATATAGGAGCTACATCAAAATCTGAACCTGTACTTTGTTCACAAAAGATACATGGACGGACGGACAGGCGGAAACGCATAAATCGACTCAGAAAATGATTCTATGCATATTCTCAAAAGGAATCATGGGTCTATCTCGATTCCTTTTGCCTGTTACAAACATATGCACAAAGACATAATACCCAGAACCATAATAACCACAAAGTCAGGCGCAATCGAACTTCTCATTGAGGTCGTATCGCTGGTAACGTAAGAACTTCGATTTGTTACAAGAGTCATTTGGGTATGAAAGGTTTTTTTTTGTAAAGAAACAATAAATAACTTCTGGGGAGAATATCCCAACCAAAAACTAAGGGAACTGATGAGGATCAGTGGCGAGATCCGAAACTATCTTCCCTGCCTTACCCCTCGGCGAACAATGTCATAAATTCCATAATAATCCCACGACTTATTTAGGTCATTGAAAAAATATTATTTAATAAACCCACGCCATGTTTATGTCCTTTAAAAAATATTCTTTTATAAATCCACCCAATGACTTTTGTATGCCTTGAAAAATTATAATAAATTATAATAAATCCACGCCTTGTTGAGGCCATTCTGCATAAAAAACACCCAAATTTTGAACCATCGTTAAGTTATTGTCATTATTTATTAATAAGTTATTTGCAGTTCTTAAATCTATGAGTAAATAGAATGTAAATCTTAAATATCGATATGTATAAAATTAAATTATTTTTTTTTTAATTATTAAAAATATTATGGCCACAGAAAATAAAATTACAATAAAAAAATATTTATGGCATGAAACATTAAAATGTAATGGATGATGGCAACGACATGAAATGGCATTTATATATAAAAAATTATTTTAAAAAATGCGTAACTTTTATTTAATATTTATCATATATATTTAAATACTAACTTAGTTAATAAATTATACACAATTTTTCTTAGCACTAAATTTTAAATATAAAAATTAATTATATTAAAAATAATTTGGGTCCAGTTTAGAATTATTTTTATTTGGCATATAACTGGAAATTGTGTAGAGAAACCTTTGGAGGTTTTCCGTTTATGGCAAGTTTGTTAAAAAATAGTAATAAATTAAAAAAATATATATTTATATAGAAAAATATTAAAGGCACTTTTAAAGCACTTGTCTCGTATCTTTTGTTAAGTTCGTTTTTTCTCCGTAAATTAAAAGAAATATATTTTAAAAAATAATTACAACTATTTCCCTCATTAATATCTGTTAACAGAGTGTGTTCAGACCCAATACTGATTACGCCTTAGCAAAGGATTACTAGGTGGCGCTGAAGGCGGTGTCGATGCCGATACCGCTTGGCCACTACTTTGCGGCACACTTGAGTAGCCTGCAAAATCATTAGCCATATCACACGATGAACTCCAGGTATCATTCTCCAGCTGATATGGATTGTAACGCTGTGGCAACATCATTTGCTGTGGATCACATTGATCATCGGTTTCATCCTCATCAGGATCATAGTCGGGGAAATCATGTTTATATGATTCGACAGGTATAATTTTACAATGTGGTATATTACTGAAGCCCGGAAGGGGTGTTGAATTGCCAGTAACGGGCACAGAGTCTGCCTCTGAATTGGCATAATGATGATGATGAGGACTGTGATGGGGATGATGATGTTGAGGACTGACAGAGGTCAAATCTGGTGGACAGGGCAAAGAGGGGGGTTGATCCTTTGAAATATTGGCTTTATGTTTCTTCAAGTAACGGAATTTCAAGACCAACATTATGATCAGGACCAACATCAGCAAAATCAATACAGCACAAATAATGGCTACATAATTTAGCGAGAACCCTGTTGAGGCCTTGGTGACATCTCTGGCCATTTCGTCGACGGGCTTGCGATAAATAATTTTCACTGAAGCCTGGGCCGGTTGTACGGTCTTTATATGCAGCTGATAATCGAAACTGTCATTATCGGCCCGGGTATTTGCCGCCGATTCGTGGGGTATAAAATACACTACACCACTTCGTAATTCCTTAAATGAAAAGGAAGTGGTAGGACGTTCATTTTGGGCATCACTGGATAGACCCGAACTGCGTATTATTTTACGTATCTGTCCTGTGCTGGGTAGACGGGTTATCAGGAATTTCGGATTGAATTTATTCAACTTGAGGGAAAGAGGATTATCCGGCACGAGGAGAGACATCAAACGGATTTTCTCCCCTGCCTGGACTCCTTGCATTGGAATATCAGTGATTTTTATAACCGGCTCCACTTGGACCAGCACATCTACAGTTGCCACATAATTTGTACCCGGCACATATGCACTAACCTGGAACGTATCATTCGAACGATTCAAATCCGTTTGCATATAATTGATCTGACCCATTTCCAAGAGCTGATGATTAAACCGCAATGTGGGCTGATGTTTCAGCACAATAATACCATAGAGAGGAGAATTAGTGATGTTATACGACAACCTTTGGATCTGAGCATTTGTCTTAATGCCAATATTTTCCAATTTCATAACAGCGGTGGTGGCACCCTGCTGGACCGTCACCGGATATTGTTGTGCCGTCGGCACTATCGATATAGGTGCAATTTTGATGGTAAATATTTCATAGGCGGGATTAAATTTCCCATCCGACACCGTGAAGCAAAATGTAGTCGATTGCGGAGTTCCGAAATGTACATAAACTATACGATCGTTGTTTATATCGGCTTGGGTAAATTGGTTGGAATAGGCCAGTAGCTCCTCGGCCACACCATCTTTGGAGATTTTCTTCAATACCCCCAATGTTGGACCGCTCATAATGTCATAGATGATTTCTTCCGGAGGTGTATCCTTATCTTCGGTTACTAAAATGTTGCGGGTTATTGTACGATTTTCACCCTCAACCACTGTCATCTGGGGTTGATGGGTTATCAACTTGAAGGGTTGATCATTAATGGGATTTATGCTAACCGGCACGGTGAGATTGCAGAGGAAAATGTGGCTGCAAAAGGGAGGAAAAAAAATAAAAAAATTCGGTAGGGAAAAGAGAAAAGTCGACGATGCCGTCTATTTGAAAACAGATACTTCTGTAGCAAAAAAATACTGTACTGAGGTCGATTTTTTCTGTAGAAAAAAATCTGACCACAGAACTGAAGTCGAGTTTTTTCTATGGAAAAAAATCGAAAAAGTCCAGTAAAACTAAAGTCGGATTTTTATTCCATAGAAAAAAAACACGCCTCAGGTTCGAGGTCGGATTTTTTGTATAGGAAAAAGTACATCAGAATTGAGGTTTGATTTTTTCCTATGGAAAAATGACCTCAGAACATAGGTCGGATCATTTTTTCTAAATCAAAAAGGACCTCAGAACTTAGCTCGGATCGAATCTCAAAAGCACCTCAGAACTGAGGTCAGATTTCTTTCTATAGCTATAAAGGAGCTCGAACTATTTTTTAAAGCAAAAAAGGACCTCATAAGTTAGATCCGATTTTATCTATAGTAAAAAATACTTCAGAACTATGGTCGGATTTTTTCTATAGAAGAAGCGATCTATGTCGATTTTATATATATATATATATATATAATGACCTCAGAACTTAGGACGAACATCAAAAGCACCTCAGAACTGAGGTTGGTTTTTTCCTTAGAATAAAGGACCTCCGAACTGAAGTCGGACTTCAAAATAACCTCAGAACTGATATTGGACATCAAAAGGATCTTAGAAAAAAGATCTAGAAATGAGGTCGGATTTTTTGCTATAGGAAAAAAGTACCTCAGTTCTGAGGTCCTTTAGGTTCTGACCTCAGTTCTGAGGATTTTTTTCTATAAAAATAAATCGAGCTAATTTTGAGTTATTTTTTATAGAAAAATATCGGCCGCCGTTCTGAGGTCTTTAGGTTCTATAGAAGAAAGCCGTCATAAAATTATTAAAAATTTTTTCTATACAAAAAATATCGATCGCAGTTCTGAGGTGTTTAGTTCCAATAAAAAAATTCGACCTCAGATCACCAAAGGTATTTTTCTTTACTTTTTCTGCATAGAAAAAACTATCGCTGAACTGAAGTCCGATTTTTTATATACCTCACAATTGAAATCCGATTTTTCCTAAAGAAAAATTATTTCTATAGGAAAATATGTCTCAGAGCTAAGGTCGGATCTATTCTCAGTGATTCTACATCTATCTACATTTTATCTTGTACTCACCCCTGTTCCAAATATACCGACATCAAAATGGTATCCTCCAAAGTGTCGGTATGATCATGAATATAGTACACCTTCCGGGTAAAGAAATCACTTGGATGGAATTTTTGGGTAGGCCGGAATTCATGACCCAAACCAATGGTGCCATGGCTAGGCTTCTGAACCGATTCAATAAATAACTCCGGATTATTAATACCAGCTCGGGTCTTAAGATATTCCAACATTTTGGAGAAGTCTAAATTAATTGGCACTGAACCACCTTCATCCACATTCAACTTCGAAACGGGTAAAAATCTCAGCAGACCTCCCGAAGATACCGATATTTCAATATTGAATTTTTGATCCAACAAACGATCACTCCTTTTCGCAATGACATCGAAGTTAAACGAATCATTGATACGAAATTCGATGACAACAGCTGTGTGTTCGTAAAATATATGACCATTATCAATATCGTATTGAGTGAATTCCGACACTTCTCTCGGCTGGCCATTATCCATAATCATATATTCGTTGATAATACGACCCAAGGTGGGGGGTACTGTTATGTTGTATCGAATCTCCCGCTCTTCGTCCGAACAACGGAAATGTAAATGATCGCGTAGAATTTGTTTCTTTGTCAACGGGAAGACATGGAGATTTTCATTTCGTTCTTCAATAATTTCAATGGGTTTGATGGCAATATTCAGAACCTGCTCCGTCGTATTGAACAGACCATCCGTGACCATAAAGGACATTTCATTGCGTCGGGAATTTGAATCGTGTATAAAATAGACCTGTTCATTGTTGATGTCATTTTGGGTGAAGTTTTCGATTTTCGATTCCGGATCACTTTTAAAGGCCAAATAACCACCATAAATGTGATTCACCACAAAGGTGAGATTTTCCGGTGGAGTGTCATAATCACGAGCCACTGAAAAGAGAGAGTAAAATTAATTTAAAATTTTCTATTTCCCAGGTTCTAGGTCTACTTACTCAAATCCGTATAGCGTATTATATACCTCCCTCCATTCCACACCTGCAGTCCCGTGTTGGTTACCACCACCGGCTGTTCATCGTTCACCGGCACCACGGAAAATTCCAAATCGAAGGGCACACTTTCCTTATTCCTTGCCGTTGCAATCAGCGTCATAACATCTGTCGAATTTTCACTACCATTATGGATATAATGTATCGCACCCTGATCCAATTGTTTCTGGGTAAATCTCTTCACTTTCGAATTCGAAGCCATAATATAACCCGCCGAGGGATTGGAGGTGATAATATATTCCAATATTTTACCACGATAATATTCTGAGAAGGGTTGTATATCCGCAGAGGTTAGTTGCACCGTTTTACCCTCCACCACTGATATGGTGTTCGTATGCATATATAACTTTTCGGGGATAATGACTATACGGAGCATAAGGTTCCGCAGCCAGGTGATGCCATTGGTTACATCGAATATAAAATAGTCACTTGATTGATTTACCCCCGCTTGAATGTAGAACATTTTCTCGGTATTGATGGCCGATTGATCGAACACTTTGCAATTGTATTCATCATCGAAGGACATGGATTGCATTTCTAGGTAGCCATGCAGAGGAGAGGCTGTAACAAGGAAGGTTATATCACCGGGGGAGATATTCGGATGGACAACCTGAAATATGCAAAAATATAGAAAAATATAAAAACAGAGCTCCAAACAGGACCTCAGAACTGAGGTCGGATTTTTTATAGAAAAAAGACCTCAGAACTGAGTACGGAAGTTTTCCTATAGCAAAAAAGGACTTCAGAACTGACGTATAATTTTCTTTCTATAAAAACAAACACAGCTCAGAATTAAGGTTTAATTTTTTCTATAGAAAATACACAGCTCAGAACTGAGGTCGGAAAAAAGGACCTCAGCATTAACGGTGGTCGGATTTTTTCAAAAAAAAAAGGACCTCAAAACTGAGGTCGGATTTTTTTCTATAGCAAAAACCTACCTCAAAATTGAGATTGGATTTTTTCTATGCCGAAAAAGGACTTCAGAACTGCGTTCGGAATTTTTCTATAGCAAAAAATAACTCAGAACTAAGGTCGAAATTGTTTTCTATAGGAAAAGAGATCTAGAAATGAAGCCGACTTTTTATAGGAAAAAAGGACCTCACAACTGAGGTCGGACCTTAAAATAACCGCAGGACTGACGTCGAAACTCAAAAGGTCCTCAGAACTGGGGTCCGATTTTTGTCTATACAAAAGGGATCTTAAACTGAGGTTGAATTTGTTTTTATAGCAAAAAAAAAAAAATTAGAACTCGGTCCAGCACCTCAGAATCGTGATTGGATTTTTTTCTATAGCAAAACTGACCTAAAGACTGTGGTCGGATTATTTTCTACAGAAAAAAAACGACCTCAGAACTGAGAAATACGTAGAAAAACGGACCTCAAAACCGAGATCGAATTTTTTCTATAGAAAAAAGACCTCAGAACTGAGGTCGGATTATTTTCTGTAGAAAAATGTACCTCAGAACTGAGGTCGGACTTTTTTTTATAGAAAAAACACATATCAGAAAGGGAAGTCGGATTTTTTCTAAGGAAAAACTTCACCTCAGACAGAGTTCGATTTTTTCCTATATGACCTATTTTCTATTTTTCTAAAGAAAAAATAGACCTCAGAACTGAGGTCGGATTGTTTTCTGTAGAAAAACGGACCTCCGATGTGAGGTCGGATTTTTTATAAAAAAAACACACCTCAAATCTGAGCGAAAAATACCTCAGACCTGATGTCGTTATTTTTTTCTTTTGGGAAAAATAACTCAGACCTGAGGTCAGATTTTTTAGTTGGGTGCTAGTACTCACCTCCAAGACATCACGGGAAATCAGTACGCTTGTCGATTCTTCAACATACAGCGTTTGATTCTTTTTCACCTGCAGCGGTTCCCAATATGCAGAGGGATATATGCGGAACAGAACCTCGCCTTCGGCACTGATGTTTTTAATGTGGACGCGGTATCTAAAAAGAAAAGGAAAATATCATTAAAAATCTCTGCCCATAAAACAAAAAATCTGAAAATTCTACCCTTACCTCAACTTATCCATCGAAGCAATTTCCGTGTTCCAATAGACCAAACGATCCCGTTCAATATCCAAATGGGTGAAGTTGCTTAACGAAGTTAAATTTGATGACTTGTAATGTGAGGACGCCGAAGACGACCCATATGTATCCTCCGTGTATCCTCGTGGTCTCCCCAAATACATTAGTATGCCATAGGTCGGAGGCTTAATTACCTCATAGTAGATCTCATCCAATTTCATATCTAAATTTGTTTCCAAAACAAAATCTTTATTGCGGAGTATTACAAATTTACTCTCCTGAACAATTGTGGCATTACCCGCCAACATTGAAACAAAGGCGTCAGAGGCATGAATTTCCAACAGCCCATCGACATTATGCATTTGATCGCTGACAATAAATGAGGCGGTACCCACATCGGCTCCAGTATGTTGGAACATTATACGCCTATTGGCTATGTCATCTTGGGTAAAACTATCCACATAATGACCAGACTTGTAGAATGCTCCATTATTGCAGGATATGTGCAGGTAGTGGATATTCGAAGTATTTGTATCCACATCGGCATCCAAATACTGCAAGACATCTGAATTCAAGGTTCGTATACCGCCCCGCATAACATGAAATATACGTTCCATAGTACGATATGGAGCATTATCATTATGAAGGCTGATTCTCACATCGATCCGTGAGACAAATTGTAAATCGGTTTCCTCACTTGACAAAATAAGTAAATCGAATAAGTCCTCTGTTGACTCAGTATCATCGTGACAATAATAGATTTCATTGAGAAACATTTGCTCCAGCGTAAATTCGCTGGCCATAATCACTTTGTGGTCCCGTTCATCATAACGACACAGGGTACCGAATTTGGGTTTTTGAGTCACTACGAATCGCAGACTTTCGTAAATATTGAAACGTATTTCAAAATGATTTTTCGTTATCAAAGCTCTTTCACCCTCTTGGACCTTGAGAATTTCTTTGGTTTGATAGGATAACTTATTGACCAGGTCATCTCGTGGGGTAAACATAATTGTCACCTTGCCGATCACATCATCACATTCCGCCACCGAGACAACAAATTCCAGATAATCACGAAAACTGGAGTAGGCCGAATGATGGGTCTTGTAGCGTATGCGATTCTTATCGATATCCAATTGGGTAAATGAATCCATTTCCTTGGCGAATTTCCGAGAGCCCTCCACATAAATGTTGCCATATTTGGTGGGACTAATAATTTTGTAGATGATATTGCGAGGGAAGGTCTCAATGGGCACGGTTTCGTACGACAACACTTCATTGGTCAAAATAAATTCTCTGGATCCATTTATGGCTATCATAGATGGTTTTCGGGAATTTATACGCAAACGCGTAAAGGTAATACGGAAATCAAAGGTTTGGGTGGTCACAAAACCAAAGGAGGCAATAAACTGGAAAAAAGAAAAGAAGGAGAAAAATCAAATAAAAATTGGAATAAAAACATTTCCGAGGAAAAAAATTGACCTCAGTTCTGAGGGTCTTTTATCAATAAAAAATTCGACTTCAGTTCTGAGGGACTTTTTTTATAGAAAAAAATCCGACCTCATTTCCGAGGTCGATCAGTTCTGAGGGACATTTATCTATAGAAAAAAATCCGACATTATTTCCCAGGTCGATCAGACTTTATAGAAAAAATCCGACCTCAGATCTGAGGGACTTTTTTCTATAGAAAAAAAAATCCGACCTCAGTTCTGAGGGACTTTTTCTATAAAAAAAATACGACCTCAGTTCTGAGGGACCTTTTTCTATAGAAAAAATCTGTCTTGAGTTCTGATGTGTTTTTTCCTATAGGAAAAACCTCAACCTGAGTTTTGAGGGATTTTTTCTATAGAAAAAAAATCCGACCTCAGTTCTGAGGGACTTTTTTCTATAGAAAAAAATTCGACCTCAGTTCTGAGGGACTTTTTTCTATAGATAAAAATCCGACCTCAGTTCAGAGGGATTTTTTTCTATAGATAAAAATCCGACCTCAGTTCTGATGGACTTTTTTCTATAGAAAAAAAATCCGACCTCAGTTCTGAGGGACCTTTTTCTATAGAAAAAATCTGTCTTGAGTTCTGATGTGTTTTTTCCTATAGGAAAAACCTCGACCTCAGTTTTGAGACCTGAACTGTAGTAGATTTTTTCTATAGAAAAAAACACATCTCAGAACTATAGTCCGATTTTATGCAGTAAAAAAAATTCTCTCAGAACTGAGGTCGGAATTTTTTCTATAGGATTGTTTTCTTTAGAAAAAAATCCCTCAGAACTGAGGTCGAATTGTTCTTCTATAGAAAAAAGTACCTCAGAATTGGGTCGATTTTTTTCACTAGAAAAAAAGGCCCTCAGAACTGAGGTCGGATTTTTTCAAAAGAAAAAAAGACCCTCAGAACTGAGGTCGGGATTTTTCTTTAGAAAAAAGGCCTTAAGAACTTAGGTCGGCTTTTTCCATAGAAAAAAGGCTCTCAGAACTGAGGTTCAATTTTTTCTATAGAAAAAGAGGCCCTCAGAACTGAGGTCGGATTTTTTCTATAAAAAAGGCCCTCAGAACTGAGGTCGAATTTTTTCTATAAAAAAGGCCCTCTGAACTGAGATCGGGGTTTTTTTTTATAGAAAAAGGCCCTTAGAACTGAGATCGATTTTTTTCTGTTGAAAAAGTCACTGAGACTTGAGGTCAAAGGAATTTTTATTTAAAAAAATCCGACTTCAGTTCAGATTGCTTTGAGTTTATTAAATACCGATTTTATCCCGATCCTTACCTTAAACTCATCATGCCAGGGAAATTCCAAATTATGCAGATAACGTATGTGGCCCAGCTGTAGCTGACTATCACTGAACCAATCCACATTGACCCAGGTGGCATCAACCTGACGCAGCCGTTGTATAGCTCCATACTGAGGCGCCTTTACAATATCATAGCGAATATCGATATTTTCATCGGCAGCATTGGTGCCAATCGATAAATTCGAAGGCGTAAGGAGTAACGAAGATTTGTGGATCATTATCAGACCGGTATTATTCACCAATCGTAATTCCAGAGGGTGAACCGAAACTGATAAAAATACCGTATCACTGGTCTCAATACCATCGGAAACATGCATCAGAAGCTGATAGCTAAACGATTCCGCCGTCGTCGTATTATAGAGGAATGTCACCTTTCCCGTATTAACATCGGCCTGGGAGAAAGTCATGGTCGGACGATTATTGATAATGAAACGTCCAAAGGATTCCTGAGGATTGGTAGAGGGCAAAATGGTATACATCAGCACATTGGGTGGACTGTCAGGATCTTGAATATTAAAAAGATCTACATCCAAATTCTTTTCAATTCCTTCAATGACTCGCAGAATTTTATTTGAGGGTATTTGCAGTTGAGGCGGGTCATTGATCGGCGTGATATTGGCATGCAACATAAAACGATGTTTTCCCAAAATATTTTCCGGCACCTTGTGTATATCGCCATAGATCTGCATATCCAACATGGCATGATCATTGAAATTTTCCGCCCCATTGTGAACATATTTCACCTTGTCTGTGGACAGGTCCACCATATTGAAAGTGCGACATATCACGAAGTTATTTTTCTCTTGGGAGAATTGTAACAATTGACCATAACGGGGCTGTTGTACAACGTGGAAGACAATGGATGACTCAGAGACGCCAGGAGTTTTGCGATAATCCAATAGGGTATCCAAGAAATTCGGTGAGAGAAAAACTGTTCCACCCTCCAGCAGCTGCATGGGGGAAACGTAGAGTAGTTCCAGGGTTGGACTGGTTTCGGTGAAGATCTGGAAAGAGAAAAATAGGGAATATAAAAATATGTCTCTGAGCTACCGATTTTTTTCTATAGAAAAAAAAGTCTCTCAGAATTGAGGTCAGATTTTTTTCTATAGAAAAAAGTATTTTAGATGAACTGAGGTCGAATTTTTTTCCATAGAAAAAGATACCTCAGATGATCTGAGGTCGAATTTTTTCTATAAAAAAAAATAACTCAGATTATCCGAGGTCGATTTTTTTCCTATAGAAAAAAATACGTCTGATGAACTGAGGTCGGACTTTTTCCTAGAAAAAACTGATGCTCCTTTTTTCTATATTTTCTGAGTAGAAAATATTTCCTCCTTACCTTATATGGCCCTTGAAAATCCGCTTTAATACAATACGATTGATCACAATAGCATATAAACTCATCCACCCCATACTGATTACAGTAACCACTCTTCAAACAAGGTTCATGTTCTACGCAGGGATATTTCCAAACACAATTCAAATCCAAATGCTGTGACTTATTGATGTGTGGAAAACCCAAATCTTTGCCGTTTATATGCACGTCCTTCATACAGCCCATAAAACTATTATCATTAATACGCAGACCCTTATGCCAAAGGCGACGTCTCAGTTCCTCCTGCACTCCGCCAACGAAGAAACTCTTCTCCAAACTAATGGTAGCCTTAGTGTCATTATCATGCTGTCCCCGATAAATTTGATCATCTAAAGTGACTTCCGCCATTTCGGCATTATAACGCATCACCAGTTTATGCCATTTACCATCTGCCACGGAATCATTGGAGGTTAACTTGATTTGACTACCCTCTTTGTGAAAGGTAAAAATCAGTAGTTTATTTTCAATTTCCACCAGCACATAATCGAAACCGCCGTTATAGAAAATGACTCCAGTTTCTTCCATCGTACGGAATTGCAGTGATACACTGTAAGAAAAATTTGGTAATTTTAAAAATTGATCTTATGATTAAAAAATGGGTACTCACCTCTCTCCAGCCGGGTGTGATTCCTTGGCCATTAGAGCATAGGAATCGGTATTGAGAAAGCTTATAGCATCCTTAGTGGTTCCATTGAATTCAGCACTACAAGTCCATGAGACTTGTTTACTATCCGTGTGACCTGTACCTTCCTTGGCCCGCTTGATTACGTTGATATTGTTGTAGAAGACCTAGAAGAAATATTAATCGGCATGAGTGGAAGAACATTGAAAAAATAATTTTATATTGAAAATAAAAAATAGGTCTTTCAGAATCAAATATATTACAATAAAAAATTGGACTATCTCTATTGATATATAATAAATTAAAATAGTAAAAGTTAAGTAATCAACAAACTGCTAGTTCTCGGGTTCAAATCCCAGCGGAGCAGAAACAAATCTTTGAAAGTGGTTTTCGAGAATTTGAAAAAGAGGCTTACATAGAGCTCCTTATGAAATGCATCCGAAGTCCATTTACATCTCAACATTCATGGGGATAACACAGACAATTAATGAAAGGAGTATCGCCTCCTAGAGGAGAATGGCAAAATTAAATAACCCAGGATTCAAACCACTTTACAAAATTAAAGGGGCGTTGTTTATTTAGCAAATATATACTTTTAGGTATAAATATATACTAAAGGTATACCTTCTCCCATCGGACCCGCTGACATTCTATGAAGGGACCTCAGCATATCATCAACACATGAGCATAATTAAACCAGTAAGGAAAGTTCAAAAGTCGGACGGGGCCGTCTATATGATACCCTTCACCACTTTGGAAACATGCAAGACATGTTAAAATCTATAATATCCTGTAGATATAACGGTCATAGAATCTTTGGAGGACCATTGAGATGGAATCGGGCGAAATTAAATGTGTTATCTAGATAAATATTTGAACCAATTGAAAAACCCCATACCATTCTGAAATCAATGAAAAATTACATCTCAAACGGACAGACTTGGATTCTTTGTGTGCCATTTGTATAAAATAGAGTCAAATTATGTATGGGAGCTATATATAAATGCATGGACCGAACCGTTGCATACACCATTTGTTTTTTGTAATCACTATATTCAATTTAATACCCTCTGCCAAATTTCGTGTAACTACCATTTACATAAAATCGAACGAAAATATATATAAGACCTATATCAAAATCTGAACCGATTTCAACAAACCTAATCACGCATCATTTTTTTCTCAATAGCAATCAGACAAATATTTGGAGTTTGGTGTATCATTTACCAATAAATCGGACGAAACTATATATGAGAGCTATATCTAAATCTGAACCGATTTTAACTAAACTTCGCAGACATCAGTCTGGACCTAATTAAGAACTCTGCTCCAAATATTGTGTCAATCGGACAAATATTGGGAGTTTGGTGCATCATTCACATAAAATCGAACGAAACTATATATGGGAGCTATATCTAAATCTGAACCGATTTTAACTAAACTTCGCAGACATCAATCGGAATATGATTCAGTACTCTGTGCAAAATTTTGTCTCAATTGGACAAATATTCACAAAAAATCGGACGAAACTATATATGGGAGCTATATCTAAATCTGAATCGATTTCAACAAAACTTCGCATTCATTAGTCTGAACCTAATACAGTACTCTGTGCAAAATTCTGTGTCAATCGGACAAATATTGGGAGTTTAGTGTATCATTCAACCAAAAATCGGACGAAACTATATATGAGAGCTATATCTAAATCTGAACCGATTTTAACAAAACTTCGCAGACATCAGTCTGAACCTAATTCAGAACTCAGAACTCCTTGGGCCAAATAAGTGAACTGTGCCAAAATTCATCCAAATCGGATTATAAATGCGACCAGTATTTTGTCAACAAAATTACATGAACAGACATACAGACGGACATGCGTAAATCGACTCAGAAAGTGATTCTATGTATATTCTAAAAAGTAACCATTCGATTCCTTTTGCCTGTTACAAACATATGCACCAAGACATAATACCCTGTACCACGGTGTGGTGGGTATAAGAAATGAAGAACCAGCGCCTCCCAGAGGAAAATAGTAATACATATAAATAAGAAAGGATTCAAACCACTGCACAAAATAGGCTTACCCCCCGGCAGGCATCCGACGCCCCCAGGAATATAATTAAACAACCTCAGCATCATTATCAAGACATGATGACCCAAAAATGGTCTGAGTAGCGCCACAAAGGGGAAAATAGCAACACTAAATAAGTAAGGACCACAACCTCTGCAAACAGTAAGAGGAGGATACGATTATTAACTTAATCAGAAGTAATTTGGTAATTTATATTTTTGATTCTCATTGAGTTAAAAATCGTCCTACCAAGAATTATCAAGATTCCGGGTAGTGCCCATATATATTGATAGAAAGATTGGACACCTCTTGAGGGTGTGAGAAATCAAATTAGAAGAACGTGCCCCCAAAATACCGAACAAATCTTTTTAGACAATTTTAGATAAAAATCGATGTTTTGATAGAGCCACCGACATATTATCGGTATTATAAAGGTTTTTAACGAATAGTCTTATCGAAGTTGCAATAGTTTGCTTCCTGGTGTATAAAAACATGTTTACAGAAATTATTCGATAAGGTTAATGATTTAAAATATCCCCTACAAATTTCGGTATTTTGAAGTTCCTACCCTAATTTTGTAAGTGCCTAGTTCATTTCGCCTAGTTCCTTTGGTTCCAATCGTGCATCAAGAACTTACCTTCACTGGTAACTCACATATACCAATGACTCACGTATACCATACAAAATAATGTTCGCATAATATAATTCATTTAAGGATACAATATTTGGAGAATATAAGGCTTTGAAGGCTATTCACCGAAAACTTTTTAATTTATTCTCTTGACAGGACCTAACCTCATTATTCTGCTCTAATTAAATTTATTACCTATCATATTACCAATTAACATTGTTATTAAACTTGTAATCGCTAACCACTTACATCTGATATGCATCCTCTAAAACTGGCCAAATCATTCAAATAATCAGGTGAATATTCACCCGGGCCACCCAGCGAAGTGCCAAAGTGAACATTTAATGCTCCCATATCCGCCGGCAATGTTTTTCTTATAATATTGCCATCCACCTGTAAGGTGATATTATTTTCATAGCGTTGGACGGCGACATCATGCCATTCCAAATCGTTGAGCTTCTGTTTTTTCGGTGAACGTAACTGTAATGAAAAAAATGAAAAAAGAAATGAAGATGGTGAAAAAAATGGGAAGCGATTAAAAATCTCAGCATGCGTAATTTATTGAAAAAGAGATAATATAACAAACACACACACACGTGCACAAAAACTACCCATTTGAAATAATGAAATTTAAGATCTAAGGAATTTTTATGGCTTATGAGCTTTCCAGTGGCATCTGGCCATTAAAATAACGCGCTCTACCAAGAGATTTGTAAAGATCCGCACTGGAACATTGGTATGTATAAATAAATATGAAGATGTGTTTGCGATTTGTGTTATCGTGTGATCGCGGTCAGTTAATAACAACCTGCCAACAGAGAAAATGATTTCGAGTTAGCATTGTAAACTTACCTGTACTGTATTGCGTTCTATTTTATAGGTAAAAGTAATGGCAGCTGCCTCCAGCCGCATTAGACAATAATCTGTTCGTCCGGCAGCCATAAATAGAAATGCATTCTCCTGAGCTGTACGAAATTTTACACGTATGTTTGTAGACATTTTCGCCTCTTGCAGTGGCATCGATATGTAGCCATCGCCAAAGAATGAGACTGGAATGAGAAGAGGGGGGAAATTGGCGGAAGGTTAGAAGGTGGAATTAAAAATGAGGAAGGAAAAAATCAATACATATTTTTTAAATATTTGTATGCTACGATTTTTTAAAAATTACAAGTGGTGGATTTCCTACATTTTTTTTCAACGACTAATACAAGGCGTGGATTTTTATGCCCTTCACCATAGTATGGGGGGGGGGGGGGTATATTAATTTTGTTCTTCCGTTTGTAACTTACCGAAATAATTATTTCCGACCCTATCAAGTATATATATTCTTGATCAGCGTAAAATTTTAAGACGATTTAAGCATGTCCGTCAGTCCGTCCGTCTGTCAGTCTGTTGTAATCACTCTAGCGTCTAAACGAATTGAGATAGATTCCCAAAATTTTGCATAGAGTTGTCTTTTGTATGCACGCAGGTCAAGTTCGATGATGGGCTATATCGGTCCACGTTTAGGCATAGCTCCCATATAAGGTACCCCCAAATTTTCGGTATCTTGAGCGCGTTTTTCAACCAAATTCGCTGAAATTTGGTACATTGATTTCCTATTGGGTACCAAATTTCCCCACTAAAAATTATAAATCCACTTTTTTTGGTAGCGCCCATATAAAGGTACCCTCCAATTGGTATTTTGGAGTTCTTGAGCGCGGTTTTCAACCGAATTCGGGATATGGATAGTCCCCATTTAACTCCCTTTTTATACCCTTCTCCACACTGTGGTACAGGGTATTATATCTTTGTGCCTATGTCTGTAACAGGCAAAAGGAAACGAGATAGACACATGGTTCCTTTTGAGAATATGCATAGAATCACCTCGATTTATGCATGTCCGTCCATCCGTCTGTTGGTGTTCAATTGTAAACAAAGTATAGGTCGCATTTATAATCCGATTTGGATGAAATTTGGTACTGCTATTGAAATTGGGGAAAATCGGTGCAGATTAAATATAGCTCCCATATATATTTTCGTCCGATTTTATGTAAATGGTGTACCAAAGTACCTAAATATCGTTCGATTTGCACAAAATTTGGTATAGCGTACTGAATTAAGTCTAGAATGATGTGTGCTAAGTTTCGTGAAAATCGGTTCAAATTTAGATATAGCTCCCATATATATTTTCGTCCGATTTTATGTAAATGGTGCACCAAAGTCCCTATATATTTTTCGATTTGCACGAAATTTGGCACAGCGTACTGAATTAAATCGTAAATGATGTGCGCTATGTTTCGTGAAAATCGGTCCAGATTTAGATATAGCTCTCGTATATAATTTCGTCCGATTTTATGAAAATGGTCCCTATATAACTCTCGATTTGAACGAAATTTTGCATAGTGTATTGAATTGAGTCTTGAATGAAGTGAGTAAAGTTTCGAGAATATCGGTTCAGATATAGATGTAGCTCCCATATATAGTTTCGTCCGATTTTATGTAAATGGTACTCCAAAGTCCCTATATATCATTCGATCGGTTTAGATTTAGTTATAGCTCCCATATATATTTTCGTCCTATTTAGTGTAAATTGATTGACACAACGTACTGAAATTAGTATTCCTTCGAAAATGCGTCCCAAATTGTGAAGGGTATCATATAGTCGGCCTAGTCCGACTTTACTACTTTCCTTACTGGACTATCACATGGCGGGGATTTTTATACCCTGCACAACTATGTTGTCAGGGTATTATAGCTTTGTGCAGCCCCAAAAGTTTGTAACGCAGCGAAATATTGGTCCTAGACCCACTTTTAAGTATACCGATCGTCATATCTCGACTAGCTGAGTCGATCTAGACATGTGTGTCCGTCCGTCTGTCCATTATAATTTGTAAACACGATACAGGCCACAGTTATGAACCAATCTTCACGAAATTTTGCATGTAGGATGGGTTCTGGCCAATGAAGACCCCTATTGTTTTTGGTAAAGATCGGTTAATATTTAGGGGATGAAATGGACCAAATACTTAATTTTTGTCGGTTTTTCTGGTCGTTCCAAAGGCCGCAATTATGACCCAAACATCGCGAATTTTTACATAGAGAAGGGGACCAGGCCAAAGAATAAGCATGCCTATTTTTATACAGATCGGTCAATATTTAGCGGATCAAATGGACCCTGACTTTTGTGTGAAAAATTACAAAATTTGTATTCTATGGAGTATATATTTGCCCTGAAAGACATAGACCCGAAGAGTTGTTGGTATATCCAAGGGCAGTGGTTGACCTTTAAATTGATAACAAATATATGGTCATATGTACTCAGATGTGGGAGTTACACTTAAATATTTACAGGTGCTTATGTATTCATATATTATTTAGTAACCCTTTACCACACTAGAGGGCGGAAATATAGCGCTGATCACTTTAAAATGTTCCATGAAGTTCCGGTTATGGTCAAGGATAACCCTACAATTTACGGTGACGATCAGATAATTATATTGTGATAAAGTGGACCGAAAACGTAATTTTTTGTGTTTTTTCGAGTCGATCTATAGGCCAATGGGAATAAGAAGATCACAACACAAGGGAAGGGAATCTGGACAAGTAATTAGAAGGGCTGTACTGAACGTTAGTAATAATTGTCGGCCTCTAGTTGGTCCAGATGGTTCAAAAATCGCGAAATATAGATCCACAGAAAGTTAATTTTTCGTGAAAGTTGTGTAGGGTATCATATGGTCGGCCCCGTCCGACTATACTGCTCCGCTCACTGGTTTAAAAATACATTTTTTAGGTGGTGGGTTCTCAAAATGCTCCAACATGACTAATTATTACCCATCCCGTTCTATGCTGGAGATCTATCCCATATGACCATAAACATTCTTAAATTATAATTATCACCCCCAAAAACACACAAACAGATCATATCAATTCATTTGTGTTATCATTTGGAAAAAGATCTATCAAAAACCAAACAGAAATACCGCTCTTTATCAAATAAGTTATTACATTTGGTGGTCAGTAAATTGTCGAAATTTTAGACAATGACATTTGTCTCCTCCGATGCTAGTTTTTAATAAACACTAAAGTTTATTGCACCCACAAAAAAAAAGAAGAACAAGAACGAACTCATTTCATAATTCTATTTCGTTGTCGTGTTGTAGATTTGAAATCTAAAGATATCACATCATTTCGGCCCTATGTGGTTGGGATAAAAAAAAACAAACACAAACGACATCATCCAGTGGAGGCAGCCAAAAGATTGTATCACCCAATTAAAAAATCTCCCTCCCCAAAAACCACAACAACAAAAAACTCAAAAACACAAGTAAGTCATTCAAAACCCACCAAAAACACAATAAAACAACAAATAAACAGATTAATTAAACACGGAGACCTCAGACTGCAACAACATACAATACGGGAACAACAAAAACAAGAAGAACAGACGAACTATGTCTGGTCTGATATTATATATGTTTGTTGTTTTTTTTCTTCTAACAAGCATCATAAATAAACTATAACTTAAAATGTTGTAACTGCAACACCAGAACAAAAAAACGTGGCACAAACGTGCAGACGGTCAAATGCCTGAAAATGAGAGGGCAACGTAAATTGTTCAGTTTTCGATTAGGGTCCAATTGAGAGCAGATACAATTTTTTTAGATTTGAATGATTGAAAAAAATTATGTGTTATATATTTTCAATATTAACGAACCGTTAAAATGATTTAAAATAGATTATTCAGACAATTTTGACCTAATATATTGGGCATTGAATGTCAAATTAAATTTTGTGATACTTCGTTCTATTTTTAAAATAAAAAATAAAATTGAAGACAGATATTTTATGAAATGGAGTTTTAAATTCAGTGGTCGGTACAATTTTGAAGGCAAGTTATGTTTGGTATTTGGGTGGTATATATTCTTACTAAAAATATTCAATATATGTTATATATATATATATATATGTTTTTTTTTTATTGGGCTCCCTTTATTTGTTTTATTTTAGAAAAAAAAATTGAAGGTCATCTTCATGATGAAGAGTATAAAAAGTTCCGCCGGGCTAAACTTAACATCGTTTCAGTTGTTATACCCTTCACCACACTGTGGTACAGGGTATTATGTCTTTGTGCATATGTTTGTAACAGGCAAAAGGAAAAGAGATAGACCCATAGCTCCTTTTGAGAATATGCATAGAATCACTTTCTGAGTCGATTTATGCATGTCCGTCCGTTCGTCTTTTGGTGTTAAATTGTAAACAAAGTACAGGTCGCATTTATAACCCGATTTGGATGAAATTTGGCACAGATGAAATTTGGCCCAAGGACGAACTCTATTGAAATTGAAGAAAATAGGTTCAGATTGAAGAAAATTTGGCACAGCGTACTGAATTAGGTCTAACAAGATGTGTTTTGGGTTTCCCGAAAATCGGTCCAGATTTAGATATAGCTACCATATATATTTTCGTCCGATTTAAGGTAAATGGTGTACCAAAGGTCCTATATATCTTTCGATTTGCACGAAATTTGGCACAGCGTACTGAATTAGGTCTAGAATGATGTGTGCTAAGTATCTTGAAAATCGGTCCAGATTTAGATATTGCTCCCATATATATATTCGTCCGATTTTATGTAAATGTTGTACCAAAGTCCCTTAGTATCTTTTGGTTTGCACGAAATTTGTTAGGATTCATCTGTTGAATATACACAAAGCGGTAAAGGGTATCATATAGTCGGCTCCGTCCTACTTTACTACTTTCCTTACAGTTTTTTTTTTTGGTATAACTCCCCATACAACGGTATCCACCGATTTTCGGTATTTTGAGAATTTTGGACACGTTATCAAGATTGAGCTCCCATATAATACCCTTTTTATTTGTTTTAATAAATTTTTACGGCATTGCAAGTACTTCTATAATTGTTGATAATGCAAATGCGATTTATGGTTTGACTGCAATATGATATTTTGTATTTTCATTCCTGTATAGCCTTATATAATGGTAGCACCACTATTAGATACTATGAGAATTAAAATCATATTTTTCTAGCGTATTTTTCGGTATGTCCAAT